CCCCTTCCCTCCAGCAAACTGCCTCCCCCCTCCACTGTAGCAGGCACCAGCGCAGGGCAAACAGCCCCAAAATATCTCAGGAGGGGGGGTAGCCTGGCAAGCCCCCTCAACATACACCCAGGGCAGAGGGGGCACCACAGCAGCAATTCGCGACCTCCGCGGCAGGCGGGGGCCTTCGCATGCGGCTGTCCCGTCATCAGTGCCCTGGGCCGGGACACCGGTGCAGGGCAGGGCTGGGGAAGGGTGCACAGGCTGTGCGTGGGCATGGCCGTGCCACGCTGGGGACAAAGCCATAGAAGCAGGGGCAGCCAGCATCCTCAGTGGCCCCACAGCCGGGGGACCGGCGAGGAACAGGCAGGGAGCAGAGCTGTAGCCACGCACCCCACAACAGCCAGCCCAGTGATGTGGCCAGCAGCCTTGCTTCGGGGTACACACCCCATGTTCCCCCAAAACATGCACACACGTGGGAACGTGTCCTCTGCTGGTGCAAGCACCTGACATCGTGGTGTCCAACTGCTTGCACGGGCGTGCACAGGAGCCCCCTGGCCAGAGCCAAGCACAACAGCTGCATTAGGGGAGCCTGATCCAAGCGCCCCATGCTGCTCCCTGTGGGATGGTGGCACCCATGGCATGGTGCACTGGGGCAGCGCCTGCAGCACCCACGATGTAGCCCCTCACCGAGGGCCCCGGAGACCTGCCGTGGCCATGCCGGCCAGTGCATGCTCAGCCTCGCACCGCGCTCTGCAGGCAGGAGGTGCTGGGTGCGGGACGCGGCCCCTCCGCGCCAGCGGGAGCAGCGAGGGAGGGCACGGGCGCCACGGCGGGAGGGCTGGCATGAACGCTGGCGCGCTGGTGAATGTAAGAGTTGTGCGTCACTGTTTTATAAATGTACAAACGCTCCCTAATAAAGAGGCACAAGTAGGTCCTGAGTTGCGTGCAAGGGACGGGACCAGTGTGGCCGGGCAGTGGGAGGGTTCAGACGCAGCATCCTCAACATCAGCGTGGTGCTGGCCAGGAGCAGCCACACTGCCAGGTCTGCAGGGAGAGCTACCCGCATCCTCGTGGGCCTAGCCCTGGCCCTAGACCTGTTATCCACCACCAAGGACTCACCATATTTCCACCACGGGGCACAGCTGGAGCTGGCAAAGAGCATCTGCACAGCATCTGCTATGCTAGAGAGGGAGTTCCACATCACTGATGAGTTCTACGAGAAAATAAACATGATTTTACAGGAGTGGGAGTGAAGAACAGCATCAAGAAAAGCCTTAGAGATGGCTCTTCCAGCATGCCCAGGACTTCAGGGCAATATGGGGCCATCTAAGCCAATTAGGATGTGCCCATGCTATAAACACGATGACTTACCAGAGCTATGAAATAGCTCTTTCTGTGTGACCTAGCAAAAATGTTATTTTTATCTGATGCAGTCATAACCCAGGTCCTTTAATTCCCCTACTCGGAGCCTGTGCCTGCTCTAGGCTCCTCCTCTTCCTAACAGCACGGGGCAGGCAAAAGAATGGGAGCATTGGCTCCCGTCCTTCACTCTAGCCAGGAGCCAGGTAAGATCTCCTGGGGTTGAGAAGGACCCAGAGGAGCACATGGAGCAGGGTTTAATGATGTCCCCAAGCAGACGCCACCTCACCCCCATGCTGCTGGGGGTGCCTCCTCCTGTGCTGTGTCTGCACAAGGGGCCGCAGTTGCTTTTGCTGGACTTGGTGCTGCCATCCGCACGGAGCCACCGCCTCCCTGGGGCTCGCTGGGCTGCCAGGCAGCTAGAACCACCATACACTGTCCTCGGCCCTTGGATCAGGCCATTGCCAATGCTAAACCAAGCCAAGCACTGTTTGAATTGCCTTTAATGAGCCACATTAAATAGTTGGCACGCTATAATTAGAAGGGGATTCACAATAGTGAAACAAGCCCTTAATTTTAATGAGCAGAGCCCTCCAAACGAACCCTCTGCATCCGGCGCGGCTCTGCTCCCCTCACCCCACAGGGAGAAGCCTTCACTGATCCCAAGACAGGCGCACTCCAGCAGGCCCTTGCTCCCATCCCATCTCTTCTGACCAGCCGCTTCCCATGGCGTATCCGTAGCAAAGCACTGCCACTACAGCTCTTTGCAGGGAAAAGCTGCGTCCTGAAGAAAAGAAGTCATCCAGCTTGGGACCGGCAGGGATAGAAGTGAGCCTTCGAGCGCAGCAGGACGTGTGCCTCGCTGCTGTCATTTCCTCCCCATCGCCTGCTGCCTGGAAGCGGTGGTGGTGACAGACAGCACGGGGCGAAAGGCATGACCTGCGGCATCTCCTATCAGATGCAGGCTCAGCACGCCAGAGATGCGTCCACGCAACTGGTTTGCTCCTTCGGTCCTGCTTGTTTCCCCAGGACCCATTTCCTGGGAGAAGAGCTAGTACCAAAGCTAAGTCCCGTCGAGGACGTCCCCAGGCACCTGGAGCACCCTGACTGCCCAGCACCAGCGCTGCTGCTGTGCTCTCCGCTCGGCCCTGCCAGCCCCCGTGCAGGCAGACACCGTGGGCTGCTCCCTGACTGTGTTTCTCTCCTCGTTGCAGGTCTCGAGGCAGCCAGCCCAGTACGTCACAGTGGATGAGGCACACGAGCCCAGGCTGGCAGGTATCTGCTGTATTTGCTCTGAGAGCTATCCGTGGAAACTGGTGCTGCCAGAGAAATCCCAGCATCTCTCTGTCCCCAGGGAGCAGCTGCTCTCAGCCCCTGCGCGCTGGGGAGGAAACATTCCCAGTGCTTTGCTACCTGCTTTGTGGCTGGGGAAGCAGCAGCCCTGTTCCTAGGGACAGCAGGGCAGCATTGGCCTGTTCCCAGCCAAAACACAGCAGAGAAAGGACATTGCGCCTCGCTTGCCTTGTCACTCTGCCCTGGCACAGGCGTGCTTCCTACAGCCGACGAAAGGGCAGATACTGAGCTGATTAACATTGCTGTGTCTGAAATAAATCTGCCATCATGGTTTAATGCAGCCAGAAGTGAGCTGATCTCCAAGACATTATGCAGGTTTGGTGAGGCAGATTTTCCCTTCCCTGCTACTAGGTTCGCTTCGGTGTTTGCCCTGGGACTCACACACAAAACAGCATTTGAGAAACAAATTATTGTGGTGGGGGAAGAGGAGGGATATCCCAACAAAGGAGCATTTTTTTTTTGTCTTTTTGCCAGATAAAGCCTTTCTCCTTGCCATGGCTCCAAGGAGGAGTGGGGCTGGTGCCCTCCCAGCCATGGTGGCCGGAGACGAGGTGCCCTCCAGCCCCATCCCAGCACACGGGGATGTAGGGTTTGTCCTGCCACCGGGGACAGTTGTGGGCAGGCTTGGGGAAACTACACCTGATTTATGCCCCTTCCCGGTTCCTCGCCACCCTTCTTTCCCTGTGGCTTCCCACAAATGGAGACTTTTACTACTCCCCTCAGCAGCAGCTGCGCCTCACACGTGATGGGCAACAAGTCCCTCTCATAGTCCAAAATGCTCTGCGCTGAATTGGTCCTCGTGGCCCTCTTCCACTAAAGCAGCCGGCAGTCACGCAGCAGACACCAACGGGGAGCGCGCACAGCTCCTCTCAAAGCGCGTGGTGGCCAATAACATTTCCAGAAAGTCTTCCTGCGGGAGCCGTAAGTCTTTGGGCAGCAGCAATGTGCCTTTTGCTACCCCCATAGGAAAACTGCCTTTTTATTTCTCTGACTCTGCAACTGCCTTTGTGGAAAAATTACACAAACTGTACGAAAATATTGATCAAACCTGCAGAGGGTTTGCAAACATCTCTCCCCATTAAGTTGCAAATTGACCATATTACCACGGGACGCCGCTCCACCTTGGCCTCCTTTGTTAAGGCTTTCACCTTCACAGCCCCACGCTTCACCGAGTGCCTCTGGGCGCGAGAAGGAGCCCAGGGCGCAGCGATGCTTGTCCTATCCCTGGGCAGGACAGGGCAGAGCAGGAGCAGGGAGGCAGGTGGGACACCTGAGACTGGCGGTGGTGCTTCCCTGGCCCTGGCTGCACATGGAAATGAGGCTCCTGAGCACCTCCAACTCCTCGCGGGCCCCTGGGGATTGCCACCCACCCTGGCGGTGGCTGTCACGCGCTATTCCTTTGTCCCACTGTGTTTCTAGGAAGGGCCCTTGAGCAGGTTGTCAGCAATTCCCTGGCTTCCAACTCCCTCTTCCTAAAGATAGACGGCTCGGGCTCCCCCCGCCACGACCTCTTGCCCCTCCGTGCCGAGATAGCGGCTCTGCAGCGGCGCCAGCCTCTCCGTGCTCCCGGCTGATCCGAAAATAGCTGGCAACCCTGGTGCAGCTCCTCTGCCTCCTCCAATGCTCAGCTCTGCCCCTGTGACTTCTGGGCAAGCTCCAGAAGTGTGGGATAGATGAGTGGACAGTGAGGTGGATTAGGAACTGGCTGGATGGCAGGGCCCAGAGAGTGGTGATCAGCGGTGCAGAGTCTAGTTGGAGGCCTGTAGCTAGCGGGGTCCCCCAGGGGTCAGTCCTTGGTCCAGTCCTGTTCAATTTATTCATCAATGACCTGGATGAAGGCACAGAGTGCTCCCTCAGCAAGTTTGCTAATGAT